GAGGTCGTGGCGCTGCAGAATGCCCTGGGGGCGCTGCGGTGGCTGCGCGAACGCGACGCTGCAGCGTTGGCAGCGGTGAGCCGCGAGGTAGATTCCGTGAAGCAGGTGTTACGTGAGAAGGCCGTGACGGAGGCCGCCTCAGAGGCACCACCGACTCTCAGCAGCAGCGGCGTGGCGTACGAGAGCCGCCGCAAGCTAGCGGAGCGTTATGTTGCGGAGGTGGAGCGGCAGCGACTCGTCCACGGCGAAGACCTCGCGGCGCAGCGTGCGCGGCGGCTGAAGCTGCTAGTGGAGGACGAGCAGCTGCAGAAGGAGGTCCACGCGCTGCACGAGACGGAGAACACCGTTGTGACACGTTTCGACGAGGCGAGCGCGGCACTCGCTGCCGAACGCGAGACGCTCGCGCAGGAACAGGCGGCGTGGCAGCAACTGCAGCAACCCGCCGCTGACGTTGAGGCAAACAACGAGGACGACACAAGCGCACTGAGCGGACTGCGCGCCTCCCTTACGGAGGTTGGTGACGAACTCACACGAGCGCAGGCCTCTGTGAGCAACGCGGAGAGCGCCCACGTCGTGCGGTTTCGTCAGGCACGTCAGCGGCTGAAGGATTGGCAGGACATGGTGGAGGCCATGCGACGCGCATGCGACCAACTGTATGCACGAACCCGCATTATCGGCGGTGTTGTGGAAGCCACTGCCGTGCGGCTGGAGGCAGAGAGCGGGCTCGGCTACATGAAGCAGCTGCGCAGGCTCAACCGCCTTCTCCTCGAGCGGTCCGCTAAGATGCTGGGTGTGCGGCAGGAAGCCGATGTAGATGCAGTCAGTCATGGGAGTGAGAGCGGGCGCATGCAGCTCGCCAACTACGCAGAGCTAGCGTCCCTGGCGGCGGAGGAGGAAGCTGCTAGCTCCATGAGCACACCTCCGGGGCGCCACCCCTCTCTATCATCCACGGCCACAACGACGATGGCATCGTCCACCCTCGATTCCCCCCGCGGCGCCGGTGGTAGTAGCGGCAGCGGCAGCCAAAACCCCCAACAGCGAACGACCGGCGTGCACCGGCGAAAGCGGCGGTGCCAAGCATACAGTCTATTGACGCACCTGCGGCGATGGGAATCCGCACTGGCTGGCGAGACCACGGCCATTCTTACTGCCTGTGCGAAGGGAATCGGGTCTGCCGATGTAACGCCCTCACTGTCTCCGGTTAGATGTATTCAAGATATTCGAGATTTGCTGTTGGTAGCATAAATGCGTGGATGCAGAGTTGCTTCCCCCGAGACGGGTAGGAGAGCTCAGCAGCCACTGTATGCTTACGGATTTTATTACATGAATCGATGGCTGCCTCTACACGGCGTGTCAACGCCACACCTTGTGGACCTCAAAGGCGCCTTTTGCTTCTGCCTCTTTGTTCTATGCGAAAGGTGGCACTGGTAGCTCTCGCATATACACACTTATCCGCTCTCGAGATGAAGGTCAGCACACAGTCCCTACTATTCGCTGTATATTTTTCCGTTTCGGTTGGCATCCTTTGTCTGTTGTTCTCGCCAACCGGCTGGAGCGAAGGGAGGGACTCGCCCTCAATTGAGAGCCATCGTGGTGTCGTGACTGACGTGCTTGACGGGAATGACTCGTGTCACCATCGCTACGCGGCGCAACCGGGTGTACCATTTCCCTGCACGCCACGCGTGACGCGGCACAATCACCTCCGTGACTTCTTCCGCTGGACGGATGCGGAGGAGCTTCGGAAAGCGAAGCTGCTTGCCCCAGTGCGCGACTTCTGCACGGGGCGGGGTGTGGATCCGTTTCCCACCGTCGCGCAGCGGAAGGACAGCGTGCGCGGCACCGAGAGCCTTGCGTTTCTGGGCTGTGGGTCCGTGTTGCCGGGCGGCGGCGGCAGGGGCAAGAATGCCTTGCCTGCGTGGGACTACGCGAACGGGCTCATCGTGCCAGAGAAATTGTTCGCGGCCAAGGGTGGGAACGTTCTCATGTCGACGCAGCTGCTGACCGCTGAGGAGGAGCGGGCTGCTGGCGTTGGGTGGAGTGGGCAGTGGCACCGCTGCTGGATCATCCCCATGACGCGGGCAGTGGCGCCTGGCGGTGGTCGCGTGTATGAGCCGACATGTCAGGCGGGGGACCTGGTAGACGTGGGCATGGAGTCCGCCACCGCTAAAGTGGCCGTGGAGCGGGTGATCGATACGGACGATGGGGTCTTGGAGGTGCAGTTCTACATCCGCAAGCGGGGGGCGTACTCGTTCTGCGCGGATCTGCTCGTGCGTCACCAAGACATGCTGGATTCCCTTGCGGCAAGCGGCGCGGCAGGTGAAAGTAGCGTGCGGCTGCTTGGGAGGATCTCGCCCTCTGCGCTGGTGGAGCATCACGGCACGCTGGGGCATGGGGCGGCGGGGCCTGAGATAGCGCCGCCGCTCAACAGGACACCAGCGTACCCCAAGAACACGGTGTGTGTGGTCCGCGGTGACCTCTCAAAGGCCGGCGATGCGTCGGGGAAGGCGTTCGTGCGGTTCGACCACGGTGTCGACGTGGTGCCTCTGCCGGTGCGGTGCGACGCCGTTGACGACTTTGACCGGTTCCGCTTTGGTGGCTGGTACCGTGTGGGGCATGGATGCGACGGCGTCCACTGCGTGGCTCTTGGGGTGGCGCCCGGGGCACCGCACCCGCTGTTAAAGGAGACGGAGGGATGGGTGTGGGCGTCGGACGTCTGTCAGATGCGCCTTTTCACCGACAAGGAGCTTCTTCTCTCGCTGCTGCAGGGCGAGTGGCTCCTCGCATGGGGTCCGTCGACGACGCAAGAGCCGCTGGCAGACATGCTGGAGGAGCGCCTCCACACGACCATCTTTTCGGAGTTTATGAGGGATATATGGAAGGTGCCAAAGGAAAAGTTACCAAAGATCTCCAAATACCGCATGTGGGACCGGTGCGTGTCGCCTGATTCACCGTGGAGCAAGAGACTCTTTAGAAAAGCGAGAGAGACACCGCCATCCACGCGCGTGACACTGCTGTGGGGTGGATGCATGAAATTGACATCGCACAAATGCTTAGGCAAGTGCGGGTTGTTTCTGTTTCAGGAGAGGCTGAATCACACCATTGGTGCTGCAGCGTATCTCCGGCAGAGGGCACCGCCGCCATGTGGTAGCAAGGCCTTCCCGACGGCGCTGCTGCTTGATCATGTGGTGTGGCGTTGTCATGCGTCCCAGACTGATCCCGCGTTCCTTCTCGCCATGAGGAACCTCCTGCTGAGCCAGCTAACCAACTTGTACGAGGAGGTAGTGAATGCGTCATCCGCACACGACCCGGCCGTTGCCCAGTGGCCGCTAACAATATGGCACACTGCCCCTGCTGGAAATAATGCAGACAAAGGCCGAAGAGATGGCAATTACGATCGGGCACGGGTGATGCACCTGCAGTGGGCGATGGAAGACGACCTTGCGGCGGTGTACAGGCTTCCGGAAGGCAACAAGCGCGTCGTGCAGGGTGCTGTTGTGGTGCAGGGCGGGGCGCGTGTGACATACATCGCGGACAACAACCAATACCCGCCGCTGACGGCGAAGCGAGTGCGCCAACGCCGTGCTGGGTACAACGTGACGCGCGGCTTGGCGGTGGTGCCCCCAGTCGTGGTGGTATCCCGCCACCAAATCACTCTTCCACTGCACTTTGGGAATGAGTTCTGCCGTAATGGTATGCACTACGGTTCCACGCCCGGTCAGTGTTTGACTGCAACAAAAGAGAAGAATGCCGAATACCACGATTGCGTGCGTAAGACATGGGCCGATAAGGCTCTGCAGGTCGTGTGGTGGAATGCTGTGTCGAGGGATAAGCAACGGCGGTTGTTAATAAAACAAGATATATCCATGTGAGTCCAATACGAATCGACTTCATACTTATACAACTGAGTTTCATTGGGCATTTTAAACATCTTGCACTCTGGAGAGAATTTCTCTTGTTCGATTGATTTTGCTGTTGGATCGACGATCTGCAACTGCCATTAGACTTGTAATTCAATTTTGTGGTGGAATGGTGGTGCGCTATTCCTTTGTTTCTCCCCATTCATATCATGATGAAGGCGGTGTGGCTTGTAGTCTTCAATTAATGGCACGTGCTCGTTTTGTGCGCACCAGCCTTGTTGCCACGCACCTCTCTGTGGGGGCACTTGGTCCACGCCCCGGTGCCCCTGCCGGTACGGACGGTGGTTGCTTCGCGCAGGCGCTGCTGTTACCATGCCGGTGGAAGGGGGACTACGGCTTCAATGTGTTCCACAACTCCAATCCGCAGCACGGCGGCTCGTACGCCCGTCACGAGCGGCGGATGCGGGACGAAGAGGTGGAGGACTTTCTGAGGAGTGTGAAGGGCTGGGTGGCGGTGGATGACTGTGTTGCAGGCAGTCGTACTGCGGTTCGCTGCGCCACATCATCGAAGGTCGGTGGCTGCAATAGTGGCGATATGCCCCGTGGCGGGGATGCAGAGGAAGGCCCGGCGCCGCTGACCATTTTCACTGGGGAGGAGGCCATAAAGCGCGAGTTTGTGTTTCAGACTTTTCGTGACGCTTACCTTTTCATGGGTCGGTTTTGGGCCTTCTGCTACGGCAGTGACAAGTACCCGCACGTGACGTGGGAGGGGACGCGGGTGACAGTGTACCTTTACTCCCCATCATTCCGTGGCCTCAGCAAGCGTGAGGCCCGCCTTGCCGCCTTTTTGAACGACCAGTACAACATGTTCAAGAAGAGCAAACGACAGCAGCAGCAGATCGTGAACGGGGTNGTGAAACAGGCACGAGTGGAGGAGATGGTGGGGGACCGTGTGGCGGGGGTGTTGCAGCGCCGCGAGGCGGAGCGGCGGCGGCCTCTCGCCGAGAAGGCTGGGAGTCCAACCGCAACATGGGCGGACCTGATTCCGGATAGCTCTGCCGGGGGCAATCTGCCGTGATCGCTGCATATGTGTGTGCATACGCATTTTGTTTCTCTGCACAGTTCTTGTTGGGTGCCAGAGCGCTTTGCCCTGTGCGCCTTACTGCCGTTTGTGGTTGTTGTTTTGGACAGTGGTGTGGTGGTTTACTCCTCTCCCCGCCCTCTGGCTGCGGCATTAGCGCCTTACCACGAGATTAGCATACAGAAACTATGGTGAGTGTTCGCCGTTTCTTTACTGCGGGCGCATTCGGCCGCGTGATGCAGGTGCTGGGCGTGTTGGGTGCCTTTGGCAGCGGGAGCTACGCGCTGTACCTTCTCATGTGGTTCCGCCCGGATGGAATTGACACGCTGCGCACATTTGTCGCATATGCATACCTCACCCTCTTCGCGGTGGTCATACCGTCGGCGGAGCTGGGGATGATGCAGCACCGGCACCTTGTGCGGTTCGCGCGGTTCTTGCTGTCGCATGTTGGCCGCGCGTTTCTCTACATCTTCATGGGCGGGCTGTTGCTGGGGCAGGATGTGGCTGGGTGGATCCTTGGGGCGTACATGATTGCGCTGGGGGTACTTAACGTAGTTGCAGCGTGTACGACACCACACCACAGCGATGCCCAGGCAGTGAGTGTGGCATGATCCAACTGCGCCTGCCTGTGTGTGTGGGAGATACAGCTTGGTTGTGGGCCTGCGAGCTGGCGAAAAAACAGAGGCAATCGAGTGAGTGGCTTGCCTGAGGTGGGCTGGAGGAGAGGGTGGACGTGTCGCTATTTGGGGAGGGAGGGGGCTTTGTTGTTGTTTTCTTTATTTTCCTCGCTGTGTGTGTCCCACCGTCCTCTGCTGTCCCTTTGCTTGTTGGCGTGCCCAGTCTCTCTGCGTCTAGGGAATACACTCCGGTAGCTGGCGGAATGGCCTCACCGCACACTGCGCTGTTCCTGTTGCTGCTGTGCCTTGCGATCGCCTCCACAGTGGGGGCGAGGGCTCCTGCGTGCAGCTGCAACTACGGTGTCGTGGTGACGGAGTCCCCAGGGTGCGCCTGCGCCTGCTTCGGCCAATACCTCCTCCCGCACTGCCTCTACACCGCCGGCGACGTTGTGAATGTGGAGCTGTGGCTCCAAAGTGCGGGCGATGCAAACGAGAGCCTGCCGCTCTCCGGTGCCGACGTCACGGCCGGGCTCAGTGGGGCCTTCACGCTGGAGCCCGGCGATGGCACGTTTGTGTTCATGCGGTCACGAAGCGCCCCCTTTCTCGGGGAGCAGCAGCAGCGACCGGGGCGGAAGCGGAATGAGACGCTCCTGGTCGCCGCAACAGTGGCGATGCCCGGGTGGGCCGCGCAGCGGCTGCTCGCTGACGTCGCTCAAGGCCGCACCGCTGACTACCGGATGCAAAACAGCTTCTCTGGTGTGCTGTACGCGATCCTCGATGTGCTTGAGGACGCCGTGGGCCCGGCGCCTCCGCTGCGTTACTTTGACGAGTCCTTCGCCATATTTCTAGGCCCCACCGGGACGTGGGCCCTCGTGGTGTCGAACTTCGGCTGGCTCATCGCCGCCCTAATCGTGGCGCTGCTGCTGCGGGAGATCGAGAGCAGGTTGATGTTCAACATGTGGTTCAACGTCAAGGACACGCGCGTGCACCCCAAAGGCGCCAGCGCCACCAAGACGTCGGGTGAGAAACCGCGCCAAAAAACAAAGGGCGGCAACAGCAAAAGTGGCAGTCGCAGCAAAAGGAAGCCGAATTACATGTTGCGCAACGAGGATGTCGCGGAGGCGCGGCAGAAGTACGAAAAGAAGCGGGCAAAACTTCTGCAGAAGTCATTCAATGTCGCGGAGGTGTCTGGCAGGCCGGACGACGCAAATCCGCTCGTCGTTGCAACTCCTGCGCGGAACGTGACGGAGAAGACGGGGAATGGGCTCAGGGAGAGGCGAAGCACCAGTCCAGGCAAGGGCCAGGGAGCGGTCAGGGACAGGTCGCCAAGCCAATATGGAGAGGTGTAGCGGTGAGGGAGCGGGTGTGGAGGTGCGGGCCATGCGGAGGTGGAACGTGTGCTGGGGAGGATGCTTCCGCGGAACACACACCGGTAGAAACAAGCACATGAGGTGGTGTGGCCACAGCCGCCTCACATGCATATTTTCTCTCGCTAGATCATATATATATTTTACAAATTGCTTTCTCCTTTCGTCTCTTGTTGTTGTTCCGAATTTTTTTTTCATTACTGGTGACGCGAGGAAAGAATGTGAGGATTGCATATTCTCTTCTCGTGTAGTGTTCTCCTTGCTGTGGCTCGCCGCTAACGGTATCGTTACGGGCCGTGTGGATGGACAACTCTCATCGCTACTCCACCGTTTTGGGTAAATGTGAGTTCGTATTTTTTTTTTTCTGTGTGTGTGTTGAGGATGTGGCTACTGCATGGGTAGGAATGCGGTGGGGCGCCTCCGCCCGGTTTGCCCCTTTGGCGTCACTGCTATTCCCCCCTCCTATTCCTCCTGTCTTCCCTGCTGCCCTCTTGCCTTCTAATCTTGGTTGGCTGCTCGCGTGTGTGTTTGTATGCCCGCAAGGAGTGGCCTCCACAGCAGCAACGCATCAAATTGGTGCTGACTGACGCATAGGAAGGACGTGAGGGGGAGTAGTTTACGCCTGGCTGCAGGAAACGCCTCACGAAGACGCCACGCGCACACAGATACTGACCGAAGCGAGGGGTGAGAAGTGAGGGGGAGAAGATATGGCGTCAGAGCGTGAGAAGCGGCAGCGCACGGCCTCTGCGTCATCCTCGCCGGTCATATCGCACGTTTTGGAGGTGCGTGGCCGCCGTATGTGTGGTACGCCGCCAACTACCCTGCCGCATGCCGCAGATGTCGCTCTGGCACCGCTGGTGCTTCCGTCGTCGGCGTCACTGGCGCCTCTGGCGGGCACTGCAGAGCGCCCCGCCGTCCCGCTTGCTGCTGCCGTTGCCGACCACTTCTCAGCGGTGGAGATCCTCTTCCAGCTTGATGCGGAGAAGCGACGCAACGGCAGCCTTATGCCGCGCGACATTGGTGGACTGCTTCTTTGGTCGGTGCCGCGCCCGGTGCCACTGGTGGAGGGTCCGCGGGTGTTCTTTCTTAAGAACAAGTCGCGGCTGCGCGACGTCGTCGTTATCTACGTCAATGGCTGGACGCACGAGGACATGATGTCAGGCGCTGCCGCGGGTGCTGCTGCTGTAACAGTGGCACCAGATGAGAGTCCGGGTGTGTGCAGCCCCCACGACGGTGCGAGGCTCCCGCCGAAGAAGAGGCTGCGGCACGACGACAACAGCAGCGGAGACAGTAACGAGGCGGTGGCGCAGGGCGGGCCGCGATGGACGGAGAGCATCGGCCGCGCCATGCTGAATCCGATACGCACGCAGCAGTGCTGGGCACGCAGGGAGTGTGGCGTGCAGTTCGCCCCACTCCTCCTGTCGAATGATGAGAAGACGACGCTTGAACGCGACATTTTCTGGCGCAATGACGCGCCTAAGACACACGGTAGCGGTGAGCGCCGCGACCACCGCAGCGCACCAGCTGAGACAAGAGCAGCGGAGGCGCTCTTGGAGGCCTCGGGCCGTGGCGTTGTCGATGCCTCAAGGACGGTCGCGCCAGCGGCTGCGTCGCATGGTGTGGGGTCACTCTTCAACCGCGCCTTGGCGATTCACGGCAGCGCTTCAAACCCTGCGAGCCCCACTACGCCTGCTCTGAACGATGCAGCGTCGACAGCAGCAGGAGCGGACGCAACACAACCCCAAGCACCACCGCCGCCATCTTCATTGTCATCATTCCAAACGGACGTTAACTCTTCGCTGTGGGACGACAAGTCTGTGCTCCTTCAGTACGCGCTGTCTCTGGAAAAGGACAGGGCGGTCTTGGAGAGCCTCGGCTTCATCGTTGAAGTGCCGCCCAGCATCGCTGGCGGTGATGGCGTGGAAGGAGATGGAGCATCGGAGTGGACTTCCTTTGATGCACCAAAACCATCAGCCAGTGGCGGCAGCACCAACGATAACAACAATGAGCCCCCACGTGTGTTTGCGCTTGACTGTGAGATGGTGCTCATAGCGAACCGAGTGAGTGCGTTGGCGCGTATTACGTTGGTGGATGTGCGGGCTGGTGCTGTTGTGCTCGACACGCTTGTGAAGCCTGGCGGTGCGGTGGTGGACTACCTCACCCGCTACAGTGGCGTCGACGAGGCGATGCTGCAGGACGTGGAGACGACGCTGCAGGACTGCCAGCGGGAGCTGAAGCGACACATCGATACACAGACGTTTGTGGTCGGCCACAGCCTGGAGAACGACTTCAAGGCGTGCAAGCTGCTGCCTAACTGCTACGTGCTCGACTCTGCGCACCTCTTTCCGCATCCGGCGGGGCTGCCGTTCAAGAACGCACTGCGGTTTCTCGCACTGCGTCACCTGCGCAAGCGCATCCAGCAGGGGTCACACGACAGCGCGGAGGACGCCTGCACCAGCGCGGAGTTGGTGCAGCTGAAGCTGCTGCACGGCCCGAATTTCGGCGTCCGCGCGCGCGTGAGTGTGCTGAAGCTCATCGAAGACGCAGCAACGGCGGCGGGGGAGGGGGCGGGCG